ATGTTGAATCCCGGTATTTAAACAAACATAACTGGATAAACCATGTTGAATCCCGGTATTTAAACAAACATAACTGGATAAACCATGTTTTCCTTCACACATAACAGTGTTAAGTTTGATCATTAGAGTTTTGAATAAAAACAAGTTCATAAAAAAAAAATTGTTTGCATTATTTGTATTTCATCAAAATGTAATATTGTTGGTAGGGGGTGAATAGTTATAAAAGGCACTGTAGGTATTTCTGGTGACCAACAGAATCTCCAAACGAAAAGACAGAAATTATCATAAGCTTTGAAAACAGGAAGATTCAAGATGATTTGTAACCCAGCGATGACGAAGGCAGCACGAGTGAAGGAGATACCTTTGTATTTCCTCTCTTCCGGGATTCAACATGGTTTATCCAGTTATGTTTGTTTAAATACCGGGATTCAACGTGGTTTATCCAGTTATGTTTGTTTAAATACCGGGATTCAACATGATTTATCCAGTTATGTTTGTCTAAATACCGGGATTCAACATGATTTATCCAGTTATGTTTGTTTAAATACCGAGCCTCAACATGGTTTATCCAGTTATGTTTGTTTAAATACCGGGCCTCGGCCGAATGTCAGCAATACCTGCAAAGAAACATATAAATTAAAATTTTCTGATTGCATAAATATTCAGCCCTCTATGTCAGCACTTGATGTGAAGCACCTTTGGCAGCAATTACTGCTGGGAGTCTTTTTAGATAGGTTTCTACCAGCTTTGCACAGTATGAATGTGTAATTTTTGCCCATTCTTCCTGGCAAAATCACTCTGATTCTGACAAGTTCATTGGGGACCGTTGATGGATTGCAATCTTCAAGTCTCGCCATACATTTTCTGTTAGATTCAAGTCAGGCTTTGACTGGGCCACTTCAGAACATTCACTTTCTTCTTTTGAAACCACTCCAGGGTGGATTTGGCCTTGTTCTTGTGGTCATTATCCTGCTAAAATGTGAATTTTCGATCCAGTTTTAGATTCTTGACTGACTCAATCAGGAGTTCCTTTAGCATTTGCCTGTACTTTGCACCATCCATCTTTTCCTCAGTCCTGACAAGCTTCCCAATCCCTTCTGACTAGAAACATCCCCATAACATGGTGCTGCCACCACCATGCTTGACAGTTGAGATGATGCTGACTGGGTTATGCACTGTGTTGGGCTTGTGCTAAATGTAACACTTTGAATTTAGACCAGAAAATTCAATATTTGTTCATTTCACCACAAAACCTTCTGACACATGTCTGCAGTATCATTTACATGATTTGTCTCAAACACCATACGAGATTTAAGAAAATTCTATTTTTTCACTAGCCCATGGATGCCAGCTTTGTGTAGGGACTCCCATTTTAGATATGGCACTTTGCAAATCTTTCAAAGTCACTGTTGGCTTCACATTGGCACCCCTAACCAGTTTCCTGTTTGTCCAGCTACTTAGTTTGGAAGAGCGACCTGATCTGGGTAGTGACTGGGTGGTATGAAGCACATTCCACTTCTTAATGACGGACATCAACGTACTCAAAGGGATCATCGGCGACTTTGAAATTTTCATGTAGCCTTCTTCTGCTCTGTGCTTCTCTACCACTTTATCCTTGACTTGTTTGGAAAGTTCCTTGGTCTTCATGGTTGGTTTGTAATATCACTATGTGAGTTGTGGCTTGAACAGATGTATTTACCCTAAGGTCAACTTAAACCACTTTGATTGCACACAGACAGAGATCATTACACTAATTTTGTGACCTTTAAAACTAATCTTTTGCACCTGAAGTGATTTAAGGTTGCTGTAGCAAAGGGTTTGAATACTTATACAATTGAGAATATTCTAATTTGCTTTGAAAATCTAATTTACTTACATAATATCAACATCTTTTAGTTTTCTCTGTTTGAAGTAGATTGTGTAGATTCTAAATATAAAGTCCTATTTGAAAGTTTTATGAATGGAAGCTCAGACGGCAACAAAATATGCAAACTTTGAAGTCACTGAAGTCACTGTACTTAAACCATGGTATAACACAATGTAAATTAATCAAAATTATTGCGGACGTTGCGTCATTTAGGAATGTAGTTAACTTTAACTTGTGTAAAAGATAATAAATGCCCAAATAACTGCAATAATGAGGGGGGAAGGGAGTTGTGAATCCCTCGTTCCAAACTATCTCCAACAAAGTTTGGTTGAGATTGGCTGAACGACCTAAGAGTAGTTATATAACGGACAGACAAACAGACAGATACAGATTTTTTGTGCTTTATATGATATATATATATATATATATATATATATATATATACTACGTAGTAGTAAGTTTAGGTTTTAAGGTAACGTACTAACAACTAACGTACGACTACTTCGTGTAGTCGTGTCGTACCTACCTACGTACG